TTGGGGCTAATACGCAGTTTAAAGTTATCGATTTGGTAAAATACTCGACGAAATTTGCGTTTCTTACTCGAGTTTTGCGACAGTTGAGAGATTTAATAATGTTTTACAACAATTAAGTTAAAGTAGAAAAAAAAATGAAAAAAAAATTAATAATTTGTATTTTCAACCGGTCTTTAGTTAAAAACTAAAGAAAAATTATCAGTAAAAATTGATATTTTTTATTCTAATTCTGGAGCAAGTAAAATGTGTTTTAGAAGAACCACAGCAAAAACGAAACAATAATTTGGCAATAATTTGCTTAATAAAAATTTAGTAAAAAATCTATTTTTGCGCCTTAGCAACATGGCATTATTAAGAATCGTTTAGCATCGCCACATAAAGTACTACTTTTACTCCTAATAACATAATATACTATTATTTAAAAATGAATGTGGGCTTAAAATGTAAAATAAGTATATCAATTTTAAACAAATAGTATAAAACAATGATACAAAACGATAAAATATGAAATAAGTGGTCTTGTTTATGAGTCAAATATCCTTTAAAATATAAAGTTCTAGATTTAGAAAAAATAATTAAGTTATGTGTTAAATGTATTTAAATTTTTTAAACATTTAAAGGAAAAGTGAAACAGTGTAGGAAAAAAAAGAACAAATGATAAACAAGATAAAAATATTTATTGACTACTCTCATCGAGAAAATTTACTATTTTTAGTACAAATTGTTTTTTATTCGGTTTTTGAGTTCCACTCCTAAGATAAACTAAAGTTTTGGAACAATTTAGTAAAGAAAAAAAAACTGATGGTCAAGCTCTCCAAAATCGTCGCTGACGTCAAAAAATCAATGAATACAAAAAAGAATAAAAATGAAAAGCAAGATAAAAAATCATCGCTTTTTTATTCAATCAATCTATTTTTTCTTTTTCTAATTAAAAAAAAATGTCAATCAAAGGTCAATTTCTGTTTTTTTTTTAATGACGAGTGAATGAGACAAATATTATTATCTTTGTTGTCCAGAATCCTATGAAATACGAATTTTGGCCACTATTGTGTTAATTAATGTGACACATACAGAACAAATTTGTTTTCATTACAACACAAATTTTCAGTTTATGCTAATCCCAAGTCGTATCTTTAAGAGCAAAATTATGGTCGCTTAAGCCCATTATTTTAAGATTCCGTGTCTTAAACATCGTGCATTACAAGCATAAATAATACACAACTCAAAAACGAAAAGTCCCAATTTGTTCTATTTAAATCACATTTTATGCCTTCATGACTAGTCTTTAGAATTCCAAGTAATTTAAAAAATCAATAAAACCTCATTTTTGGATATCAGTAACATTGAAAATTGAAAACTAAAGCAAAAACATTACAAATTAAAAAAAAAACTTACAACAATTTACCATAATACATAACTTTTTTTTAAACAGCAAAAAGGCGTGAAAATAGAAATATTTTTTTTTTATAATAATAAAAACGTTTCAAAAAATTAAAAATTGATCTAAAATATTGTATATTTTGAAAAAAATTGAACAATAAAACTTCTTGTTAGGCCTAGGTTTCAAAAGTTAAGTTGGCAACATTGTGATACCTACAAATATAGAAAATATGGGTTCTGGTACATTTCAAATTTCGTATCTATTACTTAATGTTGCCAACTTAATTTAAATTTAATTAAAAATGTGCATAACAAAAATTCACCAAAATCGTATAATTTTTGTTTTTAATTGTTGTTTGCATTGAATAACCACATTTTAGTGAGAAAATTAGTAGATTAAAAAAATATTTTGTTATTTCCTTAAGTGTCAAACAATTTAATTAAAAAATCCCTTGTATTGCTTAACACCTACTTACATCATTAATCTTTATTTTAAATTTCATTAATAAATTTAATTGGTACACTCTGTATAACATTTTTAAATCACTGTTTGAACTGACGTTTCGCTGATGGCTCGTCGTATAAATATCAGCAAAAAGTTTGTTTATTTACAAACACGAAAAAATTGACGTCAAACGTTATCTAATAAAAGTGTGCCATTACGCAACACAATAATAGAGTATTGCTTGCGTCCATCGTTTTGCAATATGTGGTTTACAAACAACAGGGTAGCTGTCCGAAATTTGCCGCACGAATCTCTAAAGTCAACAAGGTCAACCAATCAATGCTTTAATAGATCTTAATTTGCTTCCCGATTGGTCGACCTTGAGTGAAATTTTATCACGAATCGAGCGATAGATAGATTTTCGTGGAGTCGTCTCTTGACCATAATTGCTTATTATAGGTGGAGGAGGTAATAGTTTTAGAGCTGAAGGCGAAACTCCTTTTTTAATTGCTCTATAATTTTTATGATTAGTGGTTGGGAATTTTTCGGGATTTGTAGCTATATACAGGGTGTCCCAGCGAGTTAAAAATGTCCATTAGTGGCCTTTAAATGGTAAAATTAAAAAAATATTTTG